ATTAGATAAGTTTAAAGGTGAATTAAAAATGTGATGAATTTCTAACTCACAGAAACACGGGCGACACACCTAGTGTTCTGTTGCATTTCACAATTTGCACTTAGGAGTCGCAGAACATCATGGCATTATCAGAAACCTACTCACTCAAGATGACTATTAGATAAGTTTGCAGGTGAATTAATAATGCCAGAATTTTTAACTCACAGAAACACGGGTGACACTGTGTCACCCGTGTTTCTGTGAGTTAGAAATTCTGGCATTATTAATTCACCTGCAAACTTATCTAATAGTCATCTTGAGTGAGTAGGTTTCTGATAATGCCATGATGTTCTGCGACTCCTAAGTGCAAATTGTGAAATGCAACAGAACACTAAGTGCAAATTGTGAAATGCAACAGAACACTAGGTGTGTCGCCCGTGTTTATGTTGCAACTGACCGAGAAAAGTCGGCACAGAAACGCTTTGTTCAAAGCTTCAATTATGAAAAGCACTGGAGGTAAGACCCGCGGTTCGCCGAAAATTTTGAATTCATCGTGAAATCAGTGCAACTAGTGCTAAGAGGTACTGATATGCATAGCTGTGATATACTCATAACACACAATTACATTAAAATTTACCTCATCCAAGTCTATTTCTTCATTCTTTAAAGCTTCCCTGAAGCCAAACTTTCCCCTCAAGAAACCTTCTTCGGAAGTAAGACTTTTGTAATGCGTTTTACTTTTTATCGGGCGACCCTCTGTAAGATTAAGGTGAATTCCAAGAGGGATCCCACATTAATTTCTTAGACAACTGTATGGCTTCTAAGGCGCTTTCAGCATTCACGAGCAAAGAAGCCCTTGAAACTATCCCGTCTTGAAATGATTTTACTATTCCACGGTTTCTTTGCTCACAATATCCAAAGTCGTCGGCGTTTACTATCAGCAAGCGCAAACTACCATTGTCGTCTGCCATTTTGAATTTTAGTGAGCAACCAGGGAAAAAAAACTGGTCAGCAAAATTCCACAAAGAAGTTACTCTGTCATAAAACTGACCGTAAAGTGACATCATAGTTCCAGGTTCCTGACCGGGAATCAACATGGCCGACTATGACAGCACAGATATCAAGGACGAGAAAGGTATAGAAGTACTGAGTATTTATTTGTATACTGAATCTAAAAAAAAAAAGAGGTTTTTTTTCCATACCTTTTTCTTTATTTCTAACCACTTGGGAGTGAAATAAGGAAAATGTAAATTAGACGATTAGCTTACAATTTGAATATAAGTGCTAAAGAAGGAATGATAGTATTCAGACACTGTTGTAATGGAATCATGATAACCGAGAAAGCAGAACTTCACTTACAGACTGTTGAGTTTTGCAATGGAAGATTTTACATTTTAATCACACCCCAATAATAATAATTGTTGAGCTTGGGACACCTGTAGCTGATATTGAGTCAAACATAGTCATCTTGCATAGTGAATAAGTAGGGTCATGAGCTGGGCAGAGGTACTCAACAAAATTGTATAGAGGTAGGTTCCGCCGGAGGTCCAACCCCTTACCTTTTATGTACCAAACGGAACCTCTTTCACTTACTTATTAAGACACTGCATATCTTTTAACTGGTGTTAACGCACCATCTTTTAAATATAAATAAATCACTAAACTAAAAAGTTCTTTTTTTCGTGTGCCGGTTAGTCCTTTTAGGTCCTATCATAGACAGCAATGACAGATTTCCCCTCCTTTTCATTTTCTGCAAATAGTGAAACCCCATACTAGGGAGTGAGCAGGGTGGGGATTACACTGTGAATTAGTTGGGTGGGAGCTGCTCTGGTGGCGCATAAAACCCTCAGTGGCAGATCCAGGGGAGGGGCCCATTTTTCTTGTGCTCAATATAATGTGATACTAAGTGATTCATGTGGTTTTACAGCTCTTAGAGAAAAGAAGACAAAGGCATTGGTGTCACTAAGTGTGGGACTTATTTTTATCTTAGTTTAAGGTATGATTACTTTTAATGTTAAGTAATTTATAGCTTGACATCAATCAATTTTACTACCATCAAATTGCTATAAAATTTATTGCATTTAACAATTACTAAAATTGGATTTCTTTTAGGTTAAGTACACAGTTAACCTTAATGTAGTACTTCTTGGATCTCAAGATCCTTCTATTTTGAAACAAGAGATTGAGCTGGAGCTCAAAAAAGAAACTGGTAAGATTGTCCAAGATTTGGCGGGATGTATGGAATAATAAGAGTCAGTTTCGTTGGTCTTATTGTACAGCTTGCTTGTGCTCTTTCCTTTCTGATTTAGATGATGGAAATATTATTCAGTTTGACTGGTTCTCAGGATTCTTTGGCATCCCTTGTGGGATAGTGTGGGGGGCTCATGGTTTGGTTCCATGGTATGGGTGAGAGCAATGTTCCAGATAAGAGATGCGTCTTTTGTCAATGACCTGACAAAGACAGCTTCGTCACCTGATGATGACATATATATAAGTGTTAAGTTAAATATAGCAAAAAAAATTAGCACACGGTCTTGGTGACCCCTCAGATGGTCTACATGACCCCCTGCTCGAAAGAATTAACTGGAACGCTGTGAGAGACAGAAAAAGAGGTAAATTTAAATCGAAGAATTTCCCCCACTTGTTGAGCAAGATTTCTTTTTAAAGGGTACAGTGCGATAGAATAGCAATGCTTGACCCCAGAGCCTCAGCTGTATGGATACCTGTGGACATCAGTTCATTGCACATTTTTCATAGCTATACAGAGGCTTACCCCACCTTCCATGCCTACAATCACAATATTTCCATGGCTCCACATCATTGTGTTTATTATTCAAAAACAGTAATTGTTTTGTTGTTACGTGTCCAATTTCTTTTCTTTTTTACAATATTATTGGTCAGATATATCTGCCATAACACCAGACTACAGACTGACAGTAGAAGTGAAGAACATAAAAGACGCTGCTGTGATCGCAAAACTGACATCCGGCCCTTTGGAAGGTAAACCTGTAAAGGAAAACCTGTCCTAATTGCAATATTTTATTGATAAATAATTCATGTAGGTGAATTCCTCTGAATTATGAATGAGTGAACAACTTTATTGAAACTAAAACTAACTTTTAATCCACAGATCTGGATGATTATTTTCAAATCAGCTTTGTAAACAAGGAAAGCAAAAATTACTCTTTCTTTGTGCTTCCCCATGGAACTCCTGAGCCAAATGGCATTGATGCATATGTTGGAAAATATCTCCACTGTATCTTGTACAACAACAAAGGTAGGAATAATCTGAGTTTGGGTTTTATGCCAGGTTTCATGCACTTGTGCACCTTTCTCTTGCCAACAAGATAGCCTGCTTGCAAGTTAAAAGTTAAGCTGCAGTGATCAAGTGTTTTTTGTTGGTGTTCCCTAGATTCCAAGAAGCTTGCTGCAGTGATTGCAAACATTATCAGGAATGTTTTTGTTAATGAAGAAGAAGTCAATGGAGCATTAAGTTTAGTTTCAAAAAGGGAATACACCAAGGTGAACAGTGAGAAACACTAAACACTAAGTTATAATTTAGTATTAACAATAATTTGATTAAGTACATGGTCTAAGCCACTGACACTTTTTCCTCTCTAGGACACTGTGGAAAGTATGAGAGCTCAGAAGTCAACAACTGGTTAGTTTGTCACCCCAGCAATTCCTTGTGTATAGGATAGTTTAACACGTGTATAGACTTGAATCTCATTCAAAAATCAAGTTGTGGAAATTTTTACTAACAAATAACATGTATTTGCATTGCCACTTAATCTCATTGGCGAAATTTAATCTAGTAAACATGTTAAGTTATTAATTAGGAATTACTATTTTTTCAAGGTTTTCAGGTGTCTTTTACACTGTTGAATTCTGATCCAGATTCAGTTCTGGCGGAGTGGGATATAGAGACTGCTGTTCAAAGTAAGTTAGTGCAAAACAATGTGAGTTTATAAGAGTTGTGTCAAGGTAGCCAAAGTTTTTGGTGTGGCAAAGTGAGGTCAGCTGGTAGGAATTTTTGGGTGAGGATGTGCTGCTGGGACTCCTAAACCCTTAGCCTACACATAACCTAACTTAGTTCAGCTGAATTTTGCCACCCTGTTAAATTCCCTGCCTACTTCTTGTATTTAGCTGGTTCCTTGAAATCTTAGTTACAGCCCTGATTAAACCAAAGATAAATATATTTGAACCACAACAGCTATACCAGTTTTTCCTAGTCTAGACTAATACCTTCAACCAATCAATCAGTTTCCTGGAAAATGATACCCTATTCTAAACCCAAACTCTCTGATTTCCCCCCACCACCTGAATGAGTCCCATTCTCTGAATAAGCAATTTTCCCTGAATGAATTGCTCAATGCATGTACATTCAGAATGTCAGTAAGCATTTTGAGGCGAAGTTTATTATAGGTTGGTTAGATACTCCCAACTTTCAAGTTGCTGATGACCTACCATAAATCATCGATTTAGTGCCGCTACTGGAATAAACACCGCACCTTTATAAAAATAATTTAATAACTGCCACTCTCGAATAAGCCCCGCAGCACTAATTTGGGTGTTTATGTTATAGGTCAAATTTGTTTAGTTGACTCTCAATGTCCTTTGCCAGGTCTGCAAGGGCCAGGAGACAAAGAAAATCGAGAATCAACCTAGGTTAAATCAAAATTAACCTGAAATAAAATTTGATCTGTAACATTTACAAATTAACAAATAAACGCCACACCTTTGTTACAGCACTTGATATAAAGAGATGTCAAAACTGTTTTGCTTGACAAATAAGACCATGACTAACTCGTGAGTTCTAAAGTTTTAACGTAGGGAAACTCTCGAAACAGGGTTCATATTACGGTTGAAGGTGTACATATTTGTCCTTTTTTGTGCACAACTCTGAGTTCTCTCTATATTCCCCTCAGTGTTTTACCCCTAGTTGAAATAAGCACTTGCTTTTGATTATAAGTGTCACTCCTTTAACAGGGAAAATGAAATAAGCACTGCGGCGCTCAATTGATCATTTATGGTATTTGCTTCTTTTGTAGAATATTTAGATCCTTTCCTGCTAAAGTTTCCTCACTTGGATATCAGTGTTGATTCCCAGGTAAGGTGGCCTAAGTGTTTGTATTGTGATACGATATCTTTGCAGGGAATTTAATTTATTCTAGAAAGTTTATCATGCATCAAATGCAAATAGGGACTGGTGTGGGCCTTCAGTTCACTTAAATTTACAATCTTGTGTTTAAGTTTCAGAACTGCTTAGAATTTGATAATGTTCTTGCTCATTACACTGATTGAGTTAACAGTACTTTGATCTTACAACAGGTTCTTCATTATAGCAGCATTCAAATCAATCCAAGAAAAGATGGAGAATCTTTTTATCTTCCCTATGATGACTTACCTCACATGATAAATCCAATTGAAGCAAAGCTAGGTAAATTATGTCGTGAATATTAATTTAAGTTGAAGCGTTGAAACAAGAATTCACACTCTATCATCATATTTTTTAAGGAAATATGAAAGAATGTTAACATAGTATCTCTTATACACATTAAGAGAAAAATTTGACCTTTTTGGATCTGTTAATGGTTTGACTGAAGAGTTTACAATAGTCAACATAAGCATTCTGATGAATCAAATTGATTCAAAAGTAATTTGAACAATAATTTAATCAATCATTATTTTTTTATCAATCAGTCTGAAGATATCAATCATTCAATGAGTCAACCAATCATCAGCAATAATTAATGATATTTAAATACAATGTTAATCAATCAGTCAGTCAATCAATCAATCAACCAGTCCTCAATAATTTAACCGGGTAACCAACTGTCCATTATAATATGTGTATGCTAGTTAATGCACTGAAATGGTGAAAAAAAAGAAAGAGTCTTCTTGCAGCCTATGGAATCCCTCTACACAAGGAACATGAAATAGGAGAGACTGTAGTCAATTTCCAAGGAGTTTTCAGTGAAAATATTATTTTGTTCATTTACAGGCTCACATATTTCATTGTATCCAAGCTTGAATTTTGTTGTTTACGTGCCTTCTCAGAGACATACACCTCTTTATATGAGAACCAAGGATGGTGAGAGATTAATATACATAGCTGTTAAATAGTTAAAAACAAAACATAAAACTTAAGATCAGTTTATCCAGCTTTTCTTACTCTAGGGCCATTCATATAGGGAAAGTATAAAGATATACCTTTCTTGCACAAAGACATTTTTGTTTGAATTAATACAAAAGTGTCTTATTTTTAGTCTTATACACAGCCCTGCTGTTGACATCAGAGAACATCCCCTAGTGGTTTCAAAATCTAACTGAAGCAGTTCTCTGTTCAGCTCAGCAGCTGTACCAGTCCTATAGTTACAGAATCCCACCTACGTCCACTGTCAGCTTCCTGCCTGAGGGTTCCTAGAAGATGAACGTACATGGAACCCTTGTCAATGCCACGCCTTTCGATTCCCTGACTCTTCTTAGTCTTTCTGAGCCAGTTTTTCTTTCACCCCATTTTAAGCTCCGATCTCTTTTCTTTTTATATCTCTCAAGGCCAGCAAAGCAGTAGCAATGCATTCTTGAGTCCACAATGGGGTGGAATCATGATTTGCAATCTTCAACAGACTGCACCAACGAACAGTACCAGACCACAGTGGATAGAGGTTGATATGAAACCCGTTATGAACACATTCCTGGCTCAACTGAAGCTGTTACTGGGAGTTAAGCCTGTGGTGAGGATTCAACTTTTTCCATTCTCACAGACTTTNTTAGCTGGTTCCTTGAAATCTTAGTTACAGCCCTGATTAAACCAAAGATAAATATATTTGAACCACAACAGCTATACCAGTTTTTCCTAGTCTAGACTAATACCTTCAACCAATCAATCAGTTTCCTGGAAAATGATACCCTATTCTAAACCCAAACTCTCTGATTTCCCCCCACCACCTGAATGAGTCCCATTCTCTGAATAAGCAATTTTCCCTGAATGAATTGCTCAATGCATGTACATTCAGAATGTCAGTAAGCATTTTGAGGCGAAGTTTATTATAGGTTGGTTAGATACTCCCAACTTTCAAGTTGCTGATGACCTACCATAAATCATCGATTTAGTGCCGCTACTGGAATAAACACCGCACCTTTATAAAAATAATTTAATAACTGCCACTCTCGAATAAGCCCCGCAGCACTAATTTGGGTGTTTATGTTATAGGTCAAATTTGTTTAGTTGACTCTCAATGTCCTTTGCCAGGTCTGCAAGGGCCAGGAGACAAAGAAAATCGAGAATCAACCTAGGTTAAATCAAAATTAACCTGAAATAAAATTTGATCTGTAACATTTACAAATTAACAAATAAACGCCACACCTTTGTTACAGCACTTGATATAAAGAGATGTCAAAACTGTTTTGCTTGACAAATAAGACCATGACTAACTCGTGAGTTCTAAAGTTTTAACGTAGGGAAACTCTCGAAACAGGGTTCATATTACGGTTGAAGGTGTACATATTTGTCCTTTTTTGTGCACAACTCTGAGTTCTCTCTATATTCCCCTCAGTGTTTTACCCCTAGTTGAAATAAGCACTTGCTTTTGATTATAAGTGTCACTCCTTTAACAGGGAAAATGAAATAAGCACTGCGGCGCTCAATTGATCATTTATGGTATTTGCTTCTTTTGTAGAATATTTAGATCCTTTCCTGCTAAAGTTTCCTCACTTGGATATCAGTGTTGATTCCCAGGTAAGGTGGCCTAAGTGTTTGTATTGTGATACGATATCTTTGCAGGGAATTTAATTTATTCTAGAAAGTTTATCATGCATCAAATGCAAATAGGGACTGGTGTGGGCCTTCAGTTCACTTAAATTTACAATCTTGTGTTTAAGTTTCAGAACTGCTTAGAATTTGATAATGTTCTTGCTCATTACACTGATTGAGTTAACAGTACTTTGATCTTACAACAGGTTCTTCATTATAGCAGCATTCAAATCAATCCAAGAAAAGATGGAGAATCTTTTTATCTTCCCTATGATGACTTACCTCACATGATAAATCCAATTGAAGCAAAGCTAGGTAAATTATGTCGTGAATATTAATTTAAGTTGAAGCGTTGAAACAAGAATTCACACTCTATCATCATATTTTTTAAGGAAATATGAAAGAATGTTAACATAGTATCTCTTATACACATTAAGAGAAAAATTTGACCTTTTTGGATCTGTTAATGGTTTGACTGAAGAGTTTACAATAGTCAACATAAGCATTCTGATGAATCAAATTGATTCAAAAGTAATTTGAACAATAATTTAATCAATCATTATTTTTTTATCAATCAGTCTGAAGATATCAATCATTCAATGAGTCAACCAATCATCAGCAATAATTAATGATATTTAAATACAATGTTAATCAATCAGTCAGTCAATCAATCAATCAACCAGTCCTCAATAATTTAACCGGGTAACCAACTGTCCATTATAATATGTGTATGCTAGTTAATGCACTGAAATGGTGAAAAAAAAGAAAGAGTCTTCTTGCAGCCTATGGAATCCCTCTACACAAGGAACATGAAATAGGAGAGACTGTAGTCAATTTCCAAGGAGTTTTCAGACTTTTATAATAAAACAAGTAAATGTCCGAGTGTATAAAGTAACATAGGTTCGAACTTAAAACAACAAATGCACGGAAGAGTCTCTGTATGTGGAGAAATATACTCTTGGTTCCTACCACTCTCTAATTATTACATAGCTGTTAAATAGTTAAAAACAAAACATAAAACTTAAGATCAGTTTATCCAGCTTTTCTTACTCTAGGGCCATTCATATAGGGAAAGTATAAAGACATGCCTTTCTTGCACAAAGACATTTTTGTTTGAATTATTACAAAAGTGTCTTATTTTTAGTCTTATACACAGCCCTGCTGTTGACATCAGAGAACATCCCCTAGTGGTTTCAAAATCCAACTGAAGCAGTTCTCTGTTCAGCTCAGCAGCTGTACCAGTCCTATAGTTACAGAATCCCACCTACGTCCACTGTCAGCTTCCTGCCTGATGGTTCCTAGAAGATGAACGTACATGGAACCCTTGTCAATGCCATGCCTTTCGATTCCCTGACTCTTCTTAGTCTTTCTGAGCCAGTTTTTCTTTCACCCCATTTTAACCTCCGATCTCTTTTCTTTTTATATCTCTCAAGGCCAGCAAAGCAGTAGCAATGCATTCTTGAGTCCACAATGGGGTGGAATCATGATTTGCAATCTTCAACAGACTGCACCAACGAACAGTACCAGACCACAGTGGATAGAGGTTGATATGAAACCCGTTATGAACACATTCCTGGCTCAACTGAAGCTGTTACTGGGAGTTAAGCCTGTGGTGAGGATTCAACTTTTTCCATTCTCACAGACTTTCATACTTTTTTACAGCTTACACCCCAAAAACTAGTCTCCAACATGGCCATTTTTGTCTGCTCACGCATTGTCCTCTGTGATGATTGTCTTGTCTTGTTCCTTTGTTCCCTAAACTGTAGTTCCCTTGTTCCTTATTCCTTTGTTATCTTGTTCCTTTGTTTCCTTCTTCCCTTGTTTCTTTGTTGTTTTGTTCCCTTGTTCCTCTCGTTCCCCTTTCTCTCTTGTTCTCCTGTTCCCTTGATGCCCTTGTTCCCCTGTTCCTTTGTTTCCCCTCTTTCCCTACTCCCCCTGTACCCCTTGTTGCCCCTGTTCCCTTGTTCTCTCTGCTCCCCTTGTCCCCCCGTTCCCCTGTTCCTCTGTTTCCCTTGTTCCCCGGTTTCCCTTGTTTTCGTTTCCCCCCTATTCCCATTGTTCTCCTTGTTCCCCTTATTTCCCTGTTCCCTTTGTTCCCCCTGTTCCTCTTGTTCCCCTGTTCCTCTGTTTCCCTTGTTCCCCCAGTTTCCCTTGTTTTCCTTTTCCCCCTGTTACCCTTGTTCCCCATGTTCCCCTTGTTTCCCTGTTTCCCCATTCCTCTGTTTTCCTTGTTCCTCTGTTCCCCTGGTTTCCCTTGTTTTCGTTTTCCCCTGTTTCCCTTATCATTGTCTTGTAATGCCTTGCCTTGTAATGTCTTGTCTTTTCTTGCGATGTCTTGTCTTTTGTTGTCTTGTGTTGTAATGTTATGTCTTGTCATCTTCTCCTGTCTTGTAATATCTTGACTTGTCTTTTCTTGTTATATCTTGTAATAACTTGTCATGTCTCGTCTTGTAATGTCTTCTCATGTCTTGTAATTTCTTGTCTTGTAATATCTTATTTATCTGGTCTTGTAATGTCTTGTCTCATCTTTTATTTCTTGTCTTCTAATGCCTTGCCTTGTAATGTCTTGTCTTGTAATTTCATATCTTTTCTCATCTCATCTTGTCTTGTAATGTCATGTCTTGTCTTGTATTGTCATGTCTTGTCTTGTAATGTCATGACATAACTTGTCATGTGTTGTCTTGTTTTGTAAGGTCTTGTCTTTTCTTGACTTGTCATGTCATGTCATGTCATGTCATGTCATGTCTTGTCTTGTCTGTAATGTTTTTGTCCTGTCTTGTAATGTCTTGTCTTGGAGCATTGCGATGAGGAAAATCGCCTACAAGAGTAGGCTTCTTAAAAAGCAATAAGTTTGATTATAGACTTTTTATATTAGAGTTTTAGGTCTGCTATCAGTCTAAATAGACGTGTCTTTGAAACAGATTAAAAATGCGACTGAATATTCTCTTCTGTTTTCTAGCTTAAGATAATCCAAATGTCTAAATGTCATTTTGATTCATGCCCGTAATAGGTTATTCATTTCCAAAAACGATTTATGTTGTCTCTTTTTCAAATTTTTTTATTGCGTTTTGCTCTAAATGAATACAATAAATTTTATTGTAATCATTATTTCCTTTTTTAAAGAAACTTGTAGATGGCGTTGAAGTAAGATTCCCAAAAGATGTTGGAATAACACAGTGGGTAATGACCATTAACATAGTTCTTTCTTTGTTAACCCTTCAAGTCCCAAGAGTGACCACCATCAATTTTCTCCTAACAATCTCCACACATTGTCAAAAAATTAAGGTTATGAGAATTAATAAACTGATCAGCAAAGGGAAAATTCCTTGATCTTTCGTTAAATTCTCTCAAGTAATTCTGTAAGGAAATGTATGAATATCAGTTTTGAGAATTTGTATGTGGAGAATTAAGCGTAGACTGTAAGCAGTCTCTTCTTTGTCTGATTTAGCAAGGGAATTGCTCGCGCGCGCCAGTGTCTAAGCCACCAGACTGGAGAAACGAGGGTAGCAGCCTCTCCCCTCTTGCGCCTTCCGTCTCGCGCGGATGGACTGAGAAAAAAATTACTTCTCTTAATCTAAACTTAGCCTCTAGTCATGGTTAAGGCTTAACTGTACTCACAGGAACAGGAGTCACTGATGAGACTGAAAACAATGGAATATCTTGCCACCTCCACCATCACGCTAACATCCCTCGCCCAGCTGTTGGGAAAAATCAGTAACATGGTTATTAATGATCACATTCAACAGCAAGTGAAACAGGCGCTGCATGCAGTCCATCAGGTGTGACTAATATTCTATCATATTCAACTCAATGTTTTCGATCATTTTACATTTCTGCGAAACTGCTCACCTACCCCTCCCCTGAGTCAACATTTTGCCCTAAGTGGGAAGTAAGTGTTAATGTTGGCTTCGGGGTAAGTTGGCAGTTTCCCAGAAACGTATAATGATTTTACTGTAGAATTTTATAACGCAAAGGTTTTATGTACACTCGTATCGGAAAATTTGGTGAAACTTCTCCTTTGGGATACCCATATTCAGAGGACACTTTAATTCAAGGGACCAAAATTTTGTTCACGAATAAAAAAAATTAATTCTATTTGTATCAGTGAGTACTGTTGAAGGGATTCCTCGATTTAGGGGAGACATGTGCTGCTCCTGAGTTAGTCCCCTGAACGAAGGCTCGTCTGTGTAATCTTTGTATCAGCCACCTCTATTGAATGGACGCCCCTATTAGAGGTACACTTTTTCTGGTCTTTAGTATATCCCCTAAATAAAGGCTCCTCTCATGGGGAAAATCCAAGCGCGCAAGTCAAATTTTTCAAAACACTTTGCAAAAGGTTTTCTTTAACTGGCTACGAAAATGTAACTTTATACTCTTCTTTTCTGTTCTTATTTACTGTTTTCGCTGCTTGCTTCATTGCATCCTCCAAATCTCTTGCTCCTTGCCAAGAAAAGGAAGCCTTGGCTGGTTGCGAGGGAGATTGGAGGTTTACATTCAGTGCTAATGAGTGTGAACATTTATCGTCACCTTATGTGGTAGGTTTTTGGTGTTGAGCACGGATGCAATCAGCAAATGACTGAAAAGACATAGAACAATACCCACATCACACCACAGCTGCGAACTTTCAACAGTTTCCGCTACACCAAGAAACACCCGGGGAGACACCCCCACACCGTAAAATCCCTTGTTTAGCCCTGGGCTTATATAACTTCATAAGGGGTTTTGGGTGGGCTTATAAACGGGGGGCTTATATCCAGCGGGGGGTAGGGGGGGGAGCTTTAACCTCCCTTATCTTTATCTTCATTTTTCTAAACTCAAATATAACTGAACGTTTTCTTGACAAACGCTTTTTCTTTGTAGTCTGTAACAGCCCTTGAGCACGGAAATCTGACCGTAGCCGTTCTAACTGCCAAGACAGCCATCAAATCTTCGGGTCAGTATAAATCTTTTATTTTTTGCATTTTCTTGAACGGAATAGCGCCGAACGCCCAAACTTCTACCCTCTCTCGATTTAAGAGCGTTCTTTTACAAATTACCCGAAGTAGCTATTACTGGTTACAGGAATGCCATCTCGGGTGTTATCCCTATATCATCTGTTAGTATGCTAAGCTCCATCCATTCTAGCTTGCGTAGCAAGCTCTTCCTTTTGGTTTCGGATCAAAGAAAGACCGAGGGACGGGATTTTCGGTTTTGGCCGCGCGATAAATGAAAGGAGAGCCATTTTCGCGCGGTCTTTGGCTCTCGTTCCTCGTTCTTTGCTCCTAAACCGAACGGAAACGCTTGCTACGCAGGCTACACCCATTCCCCTATATGATAAGATTCTGGTTAAATGATAAGCGATACAATGACGTTACATTCTCACTTGTAATCAACTCAGTGTCCTTCTTTCTTTCAGAGGAAGCATTTTTCGACCCATCAATACTTGAGCTTTTGTATTTCCCTGACGATCAAAAGTAAGCAGTTAAATTTTTAACCCTTTTTTATTATTGTTACCAATGATTAGAGTGATTTTACTTGACCCATGAAGCAGGTACTAACAGCTAGAGCAAAGCTCCAAGTAAACAAAAGAATACTATGGAATTAGTTTATAACAGTGCGTAACTACTACCTATTTCACGGATTAAGTACAATCCCTGACTGTAACGGTAGTATGTTTTATTTCTTTTTTCTCGCAGGTACGCCATCTACATTCCTCTGTTTCTCCCCATCAGCCTTCCAGTTTTGTTGTCTCTTAGACAAGCAATAATATGGTACAGAGGAAAAGACGATGAAGACAGCAAAGACGAGAAAAAAGACAAGCAAGAATAACTTATTGAAGATGTCATGGTCATCTCCGGATAAAACAAGATGAATTTGATATCTGAAAGCCGCTTGTTTTTGCCTATATCGTGTGACGTATCGTGCTTCGCATTGTCCCTGACGGATATTAAAGAACCCTTTCGACGAGCTTGCACGGGTACTTACGACAAACTGCTAGGATAACCGTGAGATGGACTATTATCCCACCTAGAAGGGATAGCAATTCTCGTATTAAATCCCGTTAGTTTTGGGATCGTTTGTGCTTTTATGGTGACCATGCAATTTCCGTACGCGATGCGTTGGACAAGATGAGTCGTAAAAACCAGATAAACCAGTCCTGTAAGGCTACGTTCACACTGTGCGGGATAGCTTTTGCACCAGAACGAGAATTATACTGAATGGGGCTTCTGTTCACACACGAGAATGGTGATTTCGGCGCGATTTCTGTAGCGGATCGAAGCTACACCTCGTTGATCTTGAGGGTGGAGAATCACCTTTCGAATAAGTTGTGTTCACACTGTACCGGATAGATTTCTTGATGGGATAAAAAGCTATCCGGTTTTGAGTGAACGCAGTCTAAATCTCTGTTGATGTGACACTCGATTTGAGGCACTAATCCATCACGTCATGGTGTCCTTACTGCAACCATAGAAGGGAGAACAATGAGGCATTGAGCTGATGCGATTCCATTCTATTACAGTTAAGTGTCGGCCTGTTCACGAATAGACCTCCAGTTCAAGCTTGGTCCATGGCGCATATTCATATAATATGCCATCTCCGAGCTGCCGCAAGCCTCTGTTCCAAAGTGAGGCTAAGTGCGACGCTGTTGATATGAAAAATGATTTTTTTTATTCTCATGGAACTGAAACAAAACTCATTTTCACAAGAAAGGTGTTGCACTTAGCCTCATTTTGAGAATGATAGTTTTTGGAACTCGGAAATGGATAATAAACTTTTTTATGAGAATGTTGATGCAGAGAATGGGAAAAAACTAAAGAACATTCTAAGATGAAGGAGATAGCTCAGGGTGAAGTTAAGTTAAAAACAGTGTATTCTAGCCGTTTAAACATGAGCAATATAGAGAAATTGTCACAACCAGTGCATTAAATGTTTACTGAACATTAGTATATGCTGTGTAGTTTGTCGTTTAACCTAACCTAATTTCTGATCACGTATACACCACCCCCTAATGAAAAACAATCAATTGTGGCTCTGTCTCAGGGCAAGCTCTTGCTCAGGGATGTTACGAAACGGTGAATAGGGAAAAGGAAAATGAAAATGAAAAATGGGAAAAAAAATGTCAGTAACCCTGTCAGTTTTTTCCTTGCCCATTACCGTTTTGTTTCCATTTTTTCATCTTTCCGTTCCCCGTTTGCGTTTTAATAATATCATTGGCTTAGGCTCACCTCAAAACTGGACGGTGTTGAAAAGTAAACAAAGCAAAAACTAACTAACAAACAAGTAAATAAAATGCAAAACAAACGACAAGAGAAACAAAGAGGGTTGCTCTTCTCTTGACCTATCACAGTGTAAGAACGATGAGGCCTGGAATCAAAAGTGGCCTACTTTCAAAGCGAGGGTAAGTGTAAAACGTTCTTGTGATAATGAGTTTCCTTTGAGTGAGAATAAAATATCATTTTCTCATCAATGACTTCGCACCCAGGAAGGGTTCATAATTTACCGTAAAATTCCGAAAATAAGCCCCGGGGCTTATATTTTTCAATGGCCTTTTTTGAGGGGCTTATTTTTGGAGGGGCTTATATTCGGAGGCGGAATTTTACGGTATGTAGATAGGGCTGTGGTGAATTTAGTATTTGTCAGGTGCAATTTTTGGAAGTACCAGCCTATTATTTGGTGTGTTTTTTCGTGTTCTCGCTCATCTATAGGCAAAGTATATGACCTCTCTCCGCCTCTCATTATTTCTACAGCTAAATTAGTAGTTTCACGCAATTTTTTATCTATAAGGATTGTTTTGAACTGTTTTTATCCGCTCATTTTCTATTTTTTAAAAATTCTCAACTTGAAACTGGCGTTTGCCGTTTGCCGTATACGAGAAGCTTAAACTCCCTTATGTCTCCTTTTTAGTCATTTTTGGCAGAAATTCTCGATAGCCCCCGCCCCCCTGAAACCTAACCAGAAAAACTCGTGGCCCTCCCAAAAAACACCATAGCCCCCCTCTACATAAATTATGAACCCTCCCTTAGCCTCGCATTCAAATAGAGGATTGGGGAATATCGGAAATGGACTATTCAAGATCAACTGTTACAATGATTAATAAATATTCTTTCAAAAAGGTTTTTTTTTTTAAGTCTGACTAGGTTAGGAACTTATGTACTAGAGGCAAAAAATGTTTGACGTCATCTATAAACATTTTAAGGCGTCCGCAACATTTGTTTCAAGCCTGTTGCCACAGCAATGTTTCCTTGAAAGCTAGGGCCCGGTTGCATAACTGCAGAAAATTCGCACTTAATTTTATGTCGCCTTAGCCAACTTGCAAAAGCGATCAAAAATTAAGGTAGGAATTAATAGTACCAAGTACAGTGTGATATGATAAAATTATCCGAAACAACGTGACATAAACATTGGATGGAAGCTTCTTCTGTCAATAGCTTGGTCGATTTTGGTCGATAAAGAATTGAAGAACTTACCCAGATGTATTTTTTCTCTTTATGTCGGCTCAGGCATAGTCCTGTCGACTGCTCAAACATTTAAAAGCGGGCCAAAGAGTTTTCTTTCTTTTTGTTTTAAGCTTCAGTGAAGAAAACTTTTCTTATTTCAACAATAACATGACAGTCATATGCTACATGTTGCAGACGCAGCCAATTGTGTAGCCGCAAAAAATGGCGGGAAAAACGAGAACGCTCGCCTTCCTTCCTTGTTCCCAGACCTCTCTCGCGATGAGATTTCTGCTTCCCGTGGTCCTTCGCGCTTCGTTACCAGTCACTCGCGTTCCCGTTGTCAGCGTAACCGCATCCGAATCAGGCTTTCAATAAAAGTTAGTGTCCACAACCTTAAAAATTTAATTCTTAAATTGAAAGCACTCATTACTAAGAAAACCTATGCGAAAAGTTTGCGATTTGAAAACGTGATTTTTTAAGATTTTTTTAAACTTGCCGCCATTTTAGCACTCCATTAGTCTTGGTCTTGCCTCCGAAACCTTCCGGAACTGTGAGGCAGATAAATAACGAGGTGACAGAGCAACATTGATAGAGTGTGTGCAATAAAAGTGGGTACAATGTATGTCCCCATACACCAAGTAACTACCAAGAAATTTAGCCTCCAAACAGTTATAAAACTCTCACCAGCTGAATAAGAGGCAATTTTTTTCGAAGAAGTTCTAGTAGTGATGTTTTCTTTCAATTGACAAAAATTTTTTACCAGAGTCAAAAATTATTTCCACTCTAATTTACAGAGTAGCTCTATTGAGCTAATGTTTCCGAGAAAATAAAATGAAATTATTGAAAATTATTTAAGTCATTAAAACTTATTAAAAGTAATTCTAATGATAATTCAAATTTCTTAAGGACTTTTTAGTCATTGGTTGATGTTGTTACTCTCATATCGTCTGCAAGTGAGTTCTAGAGCTTCGCAGTTTCGTATTTGATAGACTCGAGTCCATGAGTCTCCATAACGTTAGATAACGCTATTCACCGGATAAATCACTGACCAGCAAAGGTTTTAGGGAAACCAATTGCGGGGCCGACCCCTCCCTTATTTTTAGACCAAACTGAGGCCCAAAGGGGCGAAAAAATTTTTGGGGGGACCGTCCCCCTCCCTTATCTCAGGGTCTGGAAGACCGCCGCCCCCCCCCCTCCCCCTTATCTGAAGGTCTGGATCCGCCTTTTGAAAAACTGGGACCAGTTGCGCAAACTTTATGAAACACGGAGGCATACTTGGTAAGGGGAGTAGGATGGGGAGAGGGCCACAAGATTAGCTACACAAAACAGGATGATAACAAGATGGACAAAACACAAAGTGTTATAACTGCTATTTATTTAATCATTTTTTTTATCTAGATTATAACAATGTGTAAAAGCATGTTAAAAATGAAAAAAAAATTGGTAAAAACATGCTAAATACCGTTATATTATCGAAGCGGGGATACTTTAAAAAAATATACAATATTCGCTATTGAAGGCTTGGCTAACGCTTCTACAGGTAAGCATTCCTTCTTATTTTTGCGGTTGTCAATAGTTTTCCCTACATGTATTTAAATAACTGAACAATAGGGTGAATGTCTTAGCTTCATCACAGGTAACCCACGATTAGCACATAAGCGCCGAACTTTTGACGTCAATGAAAGGCTTTTCGAGTTTGGGTGATCTGTGGTATAGCAAGGCTGAAAGATTTTTAAATATATGAACAGACTAATGTGATAAATTAAGGCTTAATAAAATAAAGCCTTAATACAACAAGAACGGTTGTAAACCATATCTTCATAAGTTTCATAAATAAACTAATTTAAAATAATCTAGACCACAGAGATGTTGGATAACAGACACCTGTGAATGGACACGGAGTACACCATCGCAGGCTATCAGGCTTGCTGAGAAGAGAGACTTAAGAATAATCCAGCATCAGAGTGCGTCTACGGATCCTGAGAGATCTTTGGCGTAAAAGAAGAAGATACCAGTTGAGCACAAATAATATTTCCCTGGAAGCTCGATGGTATGATTTGTGAATCATTGCCGGAATTAAAAACGAGTATTTACTGTACAAGCTCCAACACCAAACAGATGAATGGCCCCGTTATGGCCGAACGTATACAGATCACACAGGCACCCAACAATAACGGCGCGCACACAGGGAACCTAAGACGGCGGATCAGTCATGACTTCAATCTCTAAATGCTGTAACGAACAGGAGCTCCGACTTGATGAAAGGGCAGTCACTGAATGGTTCTTTTGAATAAATTTTGTACTCTTCGAGAAGGGGGTGATTAAAAAACTGCCCCTTCTTTCTCTTGACAAAATTACCAGAAAGTTATACGGGTGTCTCTATTCATTTTACTAATACTGAGTGTTCCTAAGAGGATTAATGTCCCGCCCTGGAATCGCGCAGTCCTTCTTAGTTATTATACATATCTCAAATATTGTTTGATAACCATAGGCTATTACGTTGGTAAAGGTTTTTAGTAATAACGATATATCTCAAGTTAAGACAGCTTCGAGAATCCTATCCTTGTCCTACTATATTGCTTCAGTATTACAGTGTTTATACTACTACATGAGAAATTACTGCAATTTGATTGACTTAGAGCAGTGGTATTTCAGCTTAATTTGAAATACCTACATGTGAAAATTACAAACTTTTTGTGGGTAGTAGTATAAACAAATAATAGCATGATTTGTACGTGATATTTGGCATAAATACCACTCGTGATATTTCAAAATTGTCTCAAATTTCACTCGCCTAACGGCTCGTGAAATTACGAATAACAATTTTGAAATATCACTCGTCGTATTTATACCAAATATCACTACAAATCATGCTATTACCTATACGAATCTAGTTACGGCAATAAAAATGTTTTTTGCTATTTCGTCTACTCTGTCACTGTATGTTGCGTCGGTGGTTCAAAGACTGGCCCTGAAAGAAAAAAACAGAAAAGAACAAAATCAGAATCAGTGTGGGCTAGAGCTAGAGCAAAACATACAACATCTAATTCTCACTAATTCTCGCGCGACCTACATTGCGGGGAAAATCCAGTATTCGCGATTTCGGAAGAAAAGGAAAAAAACCCAACTAGGCAAAGTACCGTATTTTCTCAATTAAACGCCTCCGGTGTTTAATTCAATTAAGGACCGGCGTTTGTTTGAGTTTGCAGTTTATTCAGGCTTACTGTTTCACAGCCGCATATCTTGCCTTTATACCGTTAGTTTATTATACCACAAATAAACGTCTGAGGGGGTGTATCTACAACTTCCCTCCAAGACCCGGCGTTAAATCGCGAAAATACGGTATCATTTTTATATGTAGCCTTCGTGGCAGGCGTTCGAAGGGGAGAGATACGCGAGGGGCGCGCGAGGAGGGAGGTTAACCCTAACTTCCTGCCTCCTTCCGCGCCCAAAATCCCCTTTCCCTTTCCCTTCGAACGTCGGCCACGCACGCTACTTTATATGCGATTTGCAATATACTGTTGTTGCATGAAATTTTGGTAATTTAATTTTCGTTAGTATGAAGCCCATCGAGAAAAGTATCATCCGCGAAAATAAGAGGGCATAAGTTAAATTTCCCATGGACATGACGAGTGGAATGTGAACTTTCGGAGTACTGTAGGGAAACCCTGTTCCCAGAGTTCTCTCCGACCCGACTCTACGGAGCGAGAGAGGCTAGGAGAGAGAACGTGGGAACGAGGTTAACTGTAGGGGTGTCGTTGCGACCGACTTGCTCACTAAACGAAGAGGTACCAAGACTCTGTCACATTTTGACTTCTTTATTCTTGATTACAACTAATTGGTACACCAGGTCTACTGCTAAAACTATAATATTCTAACTACAGCGTACGCAGAAACTTAATAGCTAAGGCCGTAGGCCGTGGACATGTGATAGGCCTATCGGATCATTATACGTTTCTGGCAAATTGCTTACCTACCCCTCCCCTGAGCAAACATAAACACTTACTTCTCACTAAGGACAAAATGTTGGCTTAGAGGAGGGGTAGGTAGACTCCGGCCTCCCCACCCCCCCCCCCCCCCCCACCTGTAACACAGAAACGTACACTCATGCGCCTCTATC